TTTCAAGTAGCCAGAACTACAGGTGCACACTACTATGCCTGGCTAATTTTTTTATTTATTGTAGAGATGAGGTCTCGCCCAGTTGCCTGGGCTGGTCTCAAACCCGGGCCTCAGGCAATCCACTCGCCTTGGCCTCCCAAAGTGCTGAGATTACAGGCTGAGCCACCGAGTCCAGTCCCAATTTTTATATTTATTGTAGAGACGAGGTCCTGCCAAGTTGCCCAGGCTGGTCTCCAGCCCCTGAGCTCAGGCAATCCTCTCACCTCCACCTCCCAGAATGCTGGAATTACAGGCGTGAGCCACCACATGCAAAGAAGGATCTGCAAAGAGGTAAAAGCAGTTTCTAGGCTTGGAAGAGGATGGTGCTACAACCAAAACAGAAGATATTAAAGCAGCAGCAAGTCTGGATGGGAGAACACTGAGTCCCGGGCACAGTGAATTTTAGTATCAGTGGACATTCACATGTAATATCATGAATAAAATGTGTTAAATGACGCTGTTTAGAACAAAATCTACAATTTTGTGAAACAAGAGAAAAGAGCCCAAATTAATTGGTCTTCAGTAAAAGACTCTGATCAATGATTCAAACAAGAACATAATCTCAGAAATATAACTTGAACAGATTACATTAAGTACACACAGCAGATTAAAATTTAAAAACCCGTTTATAAAGGAAGTCTTCTTATGATCTAGAACAATCTTATCTCCCAAGAATCATCTTAAAACATGCTGATTCATGGCTAATAGTAAAGTGATACGTAGAAGTCTTGAAGAACCTTACAGCAAAAAATCACCGGTGTAATGCTTCTGTTACAATGGTAAATGCATCTCTTTTGGTCACTATCACTTGGCCCCAACTGAACCACAGTGCCACAGCAAGAGGTGGTCAGGTCAGATGACAAGCCTGACTGACAGGATGCCACTGGATACTCACTAGATTTCCTTATGTTTTCATTCCTTTCTATAATAAACACTTATCAGCTAGTAAGATGAAATCTACTTAGATGTATCCCCAACATATTCCTAGAATTCTCAAGGTCTAAGAAATAAATGATGAAATCACTTTGTGGAGGTAGGGGCAAGATAAAACCCCCACTGATAAATTGAGGGTAAACGAGGACCACAGCTATTCTGTAACCTTATCTTCTGAACACACAAAAAATCGCATCCACATAAACTAAAATGACAACTATGTGAAGATATCTAGCATATAATTTGATATTAATAAATGTTTGTTAAATTAATTCTGAATAAAAAGTGAAATCAAACATTTGAATTGTGGCTAATTTGCCTAATCAGTATATTCCACCTGCTAAATTTATTCATGTATTTATTGTTAATACTGATAGCATTATTTTTACCAGATGTAATGTCATTATTTCAGTTTAGATCTTAAGAGGAAAAAAATGAGAACTTAGTCTTCAATTATGTTTTTACTAATGATAAGCAATGTGAACAAACTGAATTAAGACGTACTTGTTTCACATGTGACTACGCCACTAAAATTATACAGCAAGCATTTGTTAAAAATCACACTGACATTTTACAGCTACTCATAAATATAACGGAATATATACACTAAATGTTAATAATGGTGTCTTTTGATTGTAGGTTTAGAAGTGACCTTCTTTTTTATTTCCTTCTTTTTCACTTATGCGTGTTTCAAAAATTTTCTATAATTAATTATACTTTATAATAAGTGTATGAAAAAGAGATCTTTTTTTTTAAAGAGAAGGAAAAAAACATACTGATGAGTTAAAAAAACATACTTACCAAGTCTCTGTGAAGCACCCAATTTGCATGGAGGTAATGGATACCATCAAGAATCTGGTAAAGTAAAGATTTAACCATAGATCTTGGCAACTGCATGGGCTTTTTATTTGCTTTTGATGCACGGTGAAACTTAATAATATGCTAAAAGTGAAAAAGTAAAAAATACTATAATATATTGTCTTTGCTAATATCTATGCCAATAAAACACAATCAAGACCATAATAAATACTCTATATTTTAAAATTACGTACTAAAGGCCAACAAGGACACACAGAAAAATAACAAAGTCAACCAAAACTGAATCTATTTTACGGGTGAATGTGACCGTGCTGACGTGGGGTTATAATGACTAGATTTACTGACACTATTAAGATTTTCATTAATAGGAGTAAAAGGTAAAGAGGGTTGATATTTAAACACTACCTAAGAATAGTATTATATTCTCTACTAACAGAATGAAAGATAAAAAAAAGAAAAAAAAAAACTATATCCTTACTATTCTATAAAAAGTCAACGCTTTCCAGGTAACACCATTGACTGTGTATATTTGCACGTTTGAATTATTGGGAATTTCCACCTTCTTTTGGCACAGAATTAATTAGGATATACTCCCAGGAGTCAATACTGACTAGGAAATCACTAGAAAGGAAGAGGGAGAGAAAAATGGGGAATTCGATTCCGCAGAAATCGACACAACTGAGGCCAGGCGTGGTGGCTCAAGCCTGTAATCCTAGCACTTTGGGAGGTCAAGGTGAGAGGACTGCCTGAGCCCACAGGTTTGAGACCAGCTTGGGCAACTTGGCGAGACCTCATCTCTGCAATAAATCAAAAAGTCAGCCGGGCATGGTGGCGTGCACCTGCTACTTGGAAGGCTGAGGTGGAAAGATCGCCTAACCTCAGGCTGCAGTGACTGTGAGCAGCGTGCCACTGCACTCCAGCTTGGACGACAGAGTGAGACTCCAACAAAAAAAAGAAAAAAAGAAAAGAAAAGATACAACTGGATTATCATATTCAAATTGTTACAGCCACATGTTATATTGTGGGTTATAAAAACATAGTAATGAAAGGGAAGAAATGTTCCTTTTCCCATCCTCAATTCCACCTCCATCCCCACCTACCCTGGGCTCTGTCCAAAAACATGCCAAAATGGTCACTGAGAGCAATCAAAAAACCCTATGTAAATAATACTGGTGAAGTTGTCAACAGCGCTCCACTAACTTTAAAATGACCAAATGGGGCCAGGAACAGTGGGTAGTTCAGGCCTGTAATCCCAGCACTTTGGGAGGTGGAAGGGAGAAAATTGCCCGAGTCCAGGGGTCCGAGATCTGGCTGGGCAACTTGGTGAGATATCATCTCTACAATAAATCAGAAAATTAGCCAGCCATGGTGGTACATGTCTGTGGTTACAGCTACTTGGAAGGCTGAGGTGGAAGGATTGCCAGAGCCCTGCAGGGTAAGGCTGCAGTGGCCATGAGTGTGCCACTGCACTCCAGCCTGGACAACAGAGTGAGACGCTAACTCAAAAAATTAGCCAGGTGTGGTGGCACACGCCTGTAGCTCTAGTACTTTGGGAAGCAGATGCGAGAGGATTGCCTGAGGCCAGGGGTTTGAGACCAGCCTGGATAACTTGGTGAGACCTCATCTCTACAAAAACTGTATAAATAACTGTATAAATAGTTTAATAATTTTACATACCATTTGGTCTTTTTTTTTTGAGTCAGAGTGTCACTCTATCACCCAGGCTAGACTTGAACCCCCAGGCTCAGGGAATCCTCGCGCCTTAGCCTCCCAAAGTACTGGGATTACAGGCTGAGCCTACCACTCCTGGCCAACTTTCTCAGTTTTCATAAATTGTTCAAAAACATTCACTTGATTTAAAAACAAAATAGAAAATTAGAGTTTATGCTGTAACAGTGATTTCCAATGGAAATATAATGGGAGCCACATACATAACTTTCAACTTTTTAATAGTCATATCAGAAAAAAAACAGGTAAAAATCAGTGTGTGCACCATATTGAACAGTACAGTCTACAGGCTTTGCCTAGTCCGGGGCACTCCCTCTTCTTCCAGCATGTCACTGACGGTCAAAGTGAAGTTCATACACTGTCAAGTAAACCTTGGGAGACACAGAGGACATAAAAAGGAATGGAGAAAAATGGGGAAACTCAATTTTTGTGTATATTCATGAAAAGAATTGAGAAAATCACACTGGAGGTTCTTGTCAATATCTGTTGTAATAGCATTTAAACTCTGAAAGTTCCTTTAAGACCTGCATCTGTTAAAGTGATTCCTAAACAGATGTATAATTTATATAAATTTTAAAAAAACCCATCATACTGAATTAAAATTTAATTATCCATAGTTTGAACTTACAGCCAAATTTGAATTTTATTACTTTTAGTAGTTTCTCATAAAATGTTTAAATGTTCTGGTTCCTAACTTTAAAATTTAGAAATTCAAATTCGCCGGGCTCGGTGGCTCAGCCTGTAATCCCGCGCCTTTGGGAGGCTGAGGTGAGTGGATTGCCTGAGCCCGCGGGTTCGAGACCCGCCTGGGCAGCGAGACCTCATCTCTACAAAAAATCAGCTGGGCGTGGTAGTGCATGCCTGTAATTCCGGCTACTCAGAAGGCTGAGGTGGAAGGATCGCCGGAGCCCAGCAGGTCGAGGCTGCGGTGGCCGGGAGTGGCCACTGCACTCCAGTCTGGGCGACAGAGTGAGACTCCAACTCAAAAAAAAAAAAAAAGAAATTCAAATTCTTTGCTTCTTTCTTATATTGATAAAACAAAGTCACACATCTACCTCTACTTGGTAGAGCCTGTTTTAAATGTTAAAATGCTGCAAGAGGCTGACCTTGACTTGGAAAGAGAAACCATTCACAAGTATATACCTGGTTAAATCTGAACCTCCTGTGACTGTCACACAAGAAAGTAATTTTCATGTATATATTAGTAATCTGCCATTAATTACTTGCATAAAATTCTTGTCACCCACTCATTAAAATGTTCTGAAGTGAAATTTCTAAATATTACAAGAACTGTCTTCTCAGAAAAATGTTAGTTCACTGCTCAAACTATGTAAACTCAGCATTTATTTTTACTGTATTTATTCTGAACTGTGGCTGACAGAGTAGGTTGTCCCCTCCGTGCATGAGCAAAACTTACTGCACACACACATGCTCCAAGCCTGTGTAAAATCATGCAGAAAACACAGCGAGGTGACACTTACCCACAAGTCATGCTCTGCATAGTCAAACAGCAGCCACACCTTCCTGTCACTGTGAGAAAGGAATACCTTCTGCAGCGCGATCACATTGGGGTGCTTCAACTCTCGTAAAAGCTGAATGCAAGAGAAAGAGGGGTCAGCAAAATAAAATGAAAAAGAAAAATACTGCCCCAAATACCACTCCTCAGAGATAAGCTCCTTGACATCTGGTGCATAGCTTTCCAATTCTTATCCTATGCGTATGTATATTTTGCTTTACTCTGTTTTACTTTCTTTCTTGCCAGGGACTACAAGTAGGAACGTATTTTCTAAACAGGATCATTTTGAATGGCAAAATGTGAAACAGTAAACAAAAGTACTATCATCTCTCTAAAGAATTAGTTATATTCTGGCACATACATATATTTTTTACAAGAGGATCAGTTCCTTGGGAGGCAGGAAGCATGTGTTAATACTGCTATCTCCACCCTAACACAGTAGTAGTGCTCAAGAAGTACTTTTCAAAAGATCAAAAGGCATTTAACAACTCCTACACTGAGCCGTGCCCAGAGCGTGTATGAGGTTTTCCTGAAAACTAGTGAGTGTGGGAATGACTCTAATGCCCATTTATAAAAACTAGAGTAGAGAACAGGTCCTGTAAGTAGAAAAAGAAATAGGCCTTCCCAAAGTCGAAGCTTTAATTTGGACTTGGACAACCTGGGAGAAAGCAGACTAGAGCAGTGAGTGAAGACTTAGCACGTGGCATGTAACAGACAGTTGCTTGATAAAATATTTAGCAATACTGACATTACGGCTCAAGGTAAAAGCCTCATAAATACACCTGCCTCGGGCTGTCCTTAACTAGGGTTCAGATTTAATAGGTGGAGAGAAACAGATTCAATGTGATAAATATTTTTAGTATCCTTTCAATGTAAAGCTCTGTGGAAGATACAAAAAGAGAAAGGGAGGAAAACTATACTGAATACCTTCTATGTGCAAGATGATTATATACAAATGCTTTTCTCTCATTTAATCCTTATAACAATCCTACGATGCACAAAGAACTCGAGGTTCAGTATGATAAAAATAACTTGGTCAAAGTGCAACAGCTAGAAAGAAAAGGGGCCGGACTTAAATAGATCGGTCTGATTCTGAAGTCCCATGCTTTTTCAACCACAGCTAAGGAGTCCTTGTCTTCAATTCCCACAATGCAGTAGGGAAGACAGACACATAAACAGATCAATGAGGCAGAGAAAAATCAACTGCTTACACTTGTAATAACATTACCAACTTTAAACGAGTGAGGTGTACCTTGAGCACCTGAGTTGGAATCACGTAAAAATCACCTGAGCTCCATCCCTCGGAGGTTTATAGACCACATCCCAGGTTCCTATTTCTTGACTGTTTTTGCCTGCAGATTCCCTCGTCCCTCAGTTTCCTCATTTTGGCTCTGCATCTCAGCTTTTTCTACTCTTCTGCACCTTGACAATGCTGCCTGAAAGTGCTCTTCCAGCTGTAACCTGGCATGATTCTGGGGTACGACTCCCTGGACTCTGCCTCCAGCCCACATGCCCTAGAACACAACTATGGAGTTGAGAGCTAGGGTGGGCTGGACTGCCGCTTGCCGGCCTTCGACTTTCTCCAACCTGTCTCAGGGTTCCCTCAAGTATTTCGTCTTGGGTCCTGGTGGGAAGGGAAGAGCTGGGAGGCAAGTGACAAGGAAAGACACAGTAGTCCTATTCCCGGTGCCAGGCCACCAGCGGCTATCTCTGTCACTACTGCTAAGAAATATAAAGTAGCCCTGCTTTTACACACGCATGATCCTAGTTAATGATGAAGTCAAAGAAGGTTCCCATTTGGAGAGATGTGAGCTCTATCAAGAGTGAGTTACTTCAGAACACACTGGGCTCTGTGACTCTGTCAAATATTTTTAAGTGCCCCAGTGCCATGCCAGGCTTAAAGTACTTAAACCCTAGTAAGAGGCCTTGCCCCAGGTACACCGGCTATCTCCCTCTTTCTGACTCCCTGATGTTGACGAACTTGAGAAAGTTTGCCTTTGTCAGATTTCTACCAAGATACATTCCCTGTGCAGCCTGCAGGGGACTGGAAGGCAAAATGCCACTGCCACCTCTGAACAAGGCTCTTGAGACATCCCATGCTGGCTCGGCCCCTGATCCCCAGACTTCAGTTGTCTGGGAGCGGGGATGCCACAAGCAGCAATATTTAACACCTCTGAAAACAATCTTCCCTGCAATTACAAGTTGTTGATCCCATGTTAAAATGAATTCACTTTAAGTCCCATGTTAAAAGATTATTTTGACTAGATAATACATTTACATGGTTCAAAAATCAAAAGTTTACATCAAGGATAAATACTGACATGTCTCACAACTGGTCCTATCTGCCGCCCTCTTGGTAAAAATGTTTATGAGCTGTTTATCCTTGTAATGTTTCTTTATGCAAATAAAAGCAAATATGAATATATATGTTTATCCTCCTTTATTTACACCAAAGACAGCATAAATATACTCACTGTTCTGCACCTTACTTTTTAAAAAACACGTTTAATCTCAGAAATCGCTCAACATCAATACAGCATCAACATATAGAAATCTTTCTGGTCCTGTTACAGCTGCATGGCGTTTCTAGATCACATTTTAATTGTGGTAAGGCAGACGTAACATAAATATACCATCTTCAGTTATTTTTAAGTATACCATTCAGTGGGATTAAGAATAATCACCATCACCACTACACATTTCCAGAACTTTTTCATCATCCCAAACTGAAAATTTATACCATTAAACAATATCTCCCTGTCCCTTCCCCCAGCCCCCAATAACCACTAATCTACTTCATATCTCCCTCAATTTGACCAGTCTAGGTGTGCACCTCATATAAGTGAAAGAAAAGAATAACAGTATTTGCCCTTTTGTGTCTGGCTTTTCTGACATAACACAATGTCTTCAATGTTCATCCATGTTGTGGCATGTATGATAATTTCACTCCTGTGTAAGACTGGATAACATTCCATTGCGTGTATATACCACATTTTGTTTATCCATTTGTCCCTTGATAAATACTTAGGTTGTTTAGCTATGAATAATGCTGCCTTGAACACTGATGTACAAATAAGTGTTTTAATCTGTTTTCAATTCTTCTGTATCTACACCCGGAAGTGGAATGGCTAGATCCCATGGTAATTCTTTAAAACCCTTTGCACTCGGAGACATCTTGCGGATCACCCACCAGCAAGTCAACCGCACTTTTTTACAAAATAGTGAAAAACCAATCACTTCGTATTACATAGTATAGTGTTGGAACCAATTACTTTATTGTAATGATATTTGACTTATAATGGAACTTGTTTCTGACAAAAAAAATCAAAATTTTATATCTTATATTTTTCTAATGTGTGGTAACAAGTGAAACAGTCATTGACATGCAGTGCAGGTTCATTGATTCATGTAGTTCAATAGTAATTTGTTTGATGTCTTCCACCTGGGACATTCAAGTTTTACAATGTCCCCTCTGAGGGAAATGCAAAGGGTTAATTTTTTGAGAAACCACCATATAAATCACCTTAAAAATATGATCTACAGATGGTCATTTCAATACTTCATAGATATCACATTTTTTACAGACCGAAGGTCTGCAGCAACCTTGTATCAAGCAAGTCTATTAGTGCCATTTTTTCCAACAGCATGCATTTACTTCATGTTATTGTGCCACATTTTGGTAATTCTTATTTTAAGCTTTTTCACTATTATTGTGTCTGTTATACTGATCTGTGATCAGTAATCTTTGATGTGACTATTGCCTATTGTAATTATTTTGAAGTGTCACAAGTTGCAACCATATAAGACAGAGAACTAAATCAGTAAAGGTTGTTCTGACTGCTCCAGTCACTAGCTGTGTCTTTCCCCAACTCCCATTTTTCTTCTATTTAAAAAAATTTTTTTTTTGAGTTAGAGTCTCACTCTGTCACCCAGACAAGAGGGCAGTGGCACATTCACAGCCACCCCAGTGTCGACCTGATGAGCTCCAGTGATCCTTCTACCGCAGTCTTCCAAATAGCCAGAACTACAGGAATACCTGTGGGCTCAGGCAATCTACTCACCTCGGCCTCCCAAAGTGCTGGGACAACAGGCTGAGTCACCGAGCCTGGCCACCACCTCCCATCTTTATACCTCTCCCCAAGTCTCCCTACTCCCTGAAACTAATAACCCTACAATGGCCTCTAAGAGTTCAAGTGAAAGGGAGTCTCACACATCTCTCACATTAAATCAAAGGCTAGAAATGATCACACTTAGTGAGGAAGGCACATCAAAAGCCAAAATAGATTGAAAGTTAGGCTTCTTGTACCAGTTAGCCAAGTTGTGAATGCAAATTTAAAAAAAATTTTTTTTTGAGTTGAAGTCTCACTCTATCACCCAGGCTGGAGCACAGTGGCATGTTCCTGGACACTGCAGCCTCTACTTGCTGGGCTCAGGTGATCCTTCCATCTCAGTCTTCCAAGTAGCTGGAACTACAGGCACGTGCCACCACGCCTGGCTAATTTTTTGATTTATTGTAGATAACAGGTCTCGTCAAGTTGCCCAGGCTGGTCTCGAACGCTTGGGCTCAGGCAATCCTCTCACCTCGGCCTCCCAAAGTGCTAGGACTATAGGTGTGAGCCACCGCACCCGGCCCAGATAAAATTTCTTAAAATTGAAAGTGCTACTCCAGTGAACACAAGGATGACAAGAAAGCAAATCATGTCATATTGCTGATATGAAGAAAGTTTGAGTAATCTGGAGAAAAGATCAAAACAGCAACATTTATTTTAGACAAAACCTAATCCAGAGCAAGGCCCTAACTCTATTTAATTCTATGAAGGTTGAGAAGGGTGAGGAAGCTGCAGAAGAAAAGGTTGAAGTTCACAGAGGTTAGAGGAATAAAGCAGCAAGTGCTGGCGGAGAAGTTGTCAGTTATCCAGAAAACCTAGTTAAGATCCTCAATGAAGGTGACTGTACTGAATGACAGACTCTCAGTGTAGACAAAAGAGGGCTTCCTTTTTTTCCCTAGACATCTAGGGCTTCCATAGCTAGAGAGCAGAAGTCAATGCCTGGTTTCAAAGCTTCGAAGGATTCTCT